TGCAACATATGATCACTACACGCAACTCGCAATTGTAGCGAATGTAGACAAACGTTTGAACCACAATTCAAAAGGAATTTTGCTTCAAGCATTTGACACACCGTGTAGCAGATACATTTGCTACACGAACTGCCGAACTTTTTGACTCAAATGTTCGGTCCAACGTTGGAACGAATGTTCGACGCATCGTGTAGCACCGGTTTATGCCTATTTGGACTAACAACTATTTGGAAGTTTACGGATAACGCAATAGGAGTTAAATGCTGCTGTTCAAACGAATCGTAAAACTGCCCAACCACCTAAATGATTGTTACTATCCCATATTTTGTGATACTCCCTCGTATTGCCAAGTACACAAGGCTGCTCGCATGCTTTCCCAGGCAAGTCGATGCAACATGCGCTACGGGGTGCGATCAGAATGTTGTAAAAATCAACACTAGCTATTAGTCTATAAAAATTATACGGTCAATTTTTTTTAGAAATAAACAAAACGACAAAAAACGAAAACTCTTCAATTTGACATATGACATTTGACTATGACAATGTTCACTTGATTTAATTCGGATTTTAATTGGCTGATGGAAGTTTGACATGTGTCGAAGTGACAGCGTAACTGTTCAGTTTGAAAACAGTTTGGACTATTTTTTTCTTGAGCGCTTTATGAATCAATTTCATTGACTCTAGACATTGAGGAAAGCTTTTAATAAAGATGGTCCTTTACCGACGCCTGAACGCATTCAAGATTACATATACCCTGGCAGTTCATCTCATATGATCTTTTTGGCAAAAACGTTAATTTAATGTGAAGGCAAAACGCAACAGTGGCTTTTATATACCCAGCAGGTCGACGCCGACGAGACCTCGAAGGATGCCGGGCGTCGCCATTACCAAATACGGCATTCTGAAAGTGTTTTTAATCTCGAATGTGGGTTGACCATATGGTCGGGATCGCAGAAATTTATCGAACTGTTCAGGTATGGAGTTTGTCTAAATCAATTTTCTTACGGATTCATTTAGCAGCATATGTCCAGCTTTTTTGTCCAGGAAGAAAGGAAACATTGTAACAAATGCGTCGCTTCAGCAGCAATTTTCATTTTCTTCGAGGGAAGGTCTAAGTGGAAATCACAAATTAATGTTTAAATATAAAATTGGACTTTGTGGTTTGTTTACGTCATTTATTTATTACGGAAAATCTCCAAAATTTACGTAGTTAAGTTTAAGCTGCGCACATTTTTCGTTGCTTTATTTCGTATTGTTTAAGAAGTTTTCTAGTTTGAAACCTGCAAGCGAAAATGGCCCCTGCCGACAATCATACAAAATTATCGTATTAGTTTCGTATTTTTCTAGTATTTACAATTCTGTTTTCGAAAACCAGTCGGAGGAT